CAACAAGGAAAACAGGGCATGTGAAAAGGTAGAAACAGAAACACACTAAACATGAGCATCAAGGTGCTGAACTCTTACAGGGGAAAGGAATGTAAAAATCCTCCCTCAGGACATTTTCTAGAATAATTACTGTATGTTTTTAACCATCAAAATACATCACAGTAAAATGTTAGTTCCATAACATAAAAGAGCAAAACAAAGCAATACTAAAGATAAAAGATAGGTAATTTCAGAGCAAAATAAAAAAGGCCATTAATCACATGTTAGCAGTTTGTAGACCTATCATTTCATAACACCGAGAACCTGTTTTTTTTTTTATCTCACTTTAGAAGTTTCTTACATTAATTTAAAGAGATGTTGGATCTGAAATGTTTACAGCATTCCATTTACAAGTTTGCAAAACTTTTTTCCAGCAGAGTTTTCTCAACACTTGGTACACAAGAAAGAGGTACGTGGTTTTCAACATTTTTTACAAATAATAATTTAAAACATATAGAGCATTTAGTCTAGTCTAAGTTAGTCTATTCTTTTTTAACACTTCCCCCTATAAACAGATTAGTCAATGCAACTAAACTTCTACCAATCTGGTTGGGCATTATGTGTTCTAATTGGATACTGTTTTTAACCAATCTATGTCGTTAAAAGGGTAAACCAATACAAATTGGTCACTTTGACCAAGATATTGAATTATTAATGTAATAACAGTGAAGTGAGAGCCAGGAACCAGAACCTTTGGTTACAGGGCAAACTCCAGCGTCAGATGCTACTATCACCACTAACAATTCTTGGAATTTAATACTGGTTACAAGTATTAAAACCAAGGTTAAAGCCATCATTTGCATTCTGTAAATGAACACATCATTAACTATTATGCACAACACTTAACTATAGCCAGTCAGAGTGGTATAAATCAGTTACAATTTTTATTGGTTGTTTGGTTAACCAATTAAATTGGTTGGTCCAAGACCAATGGGTGGGGGAGTTTTGGACCAATAATTAATCTAACCAAAATTGGTATAACAAACAAGATTGGTTGTTTTTCCAACCAATCTACTCTTAGGGCCGGATTTATCCAGATCCAATTTTGCGTGCAGTAATTTGCGCTCGCAAACTGGAATTTTGTGCGAGGGGCTGAACCATGGTTTGCGGGTGATTTAACAAGAGTGATTGCGTAACTGGTGGCAGGTGCAAAACTGTTGAAGACACCCTATTTAAATGATGGTTTTGCGCGTTTTGTGGTTTGCGGCAAAGTAGTTTGTAGTTTGTACAAACTAGTGCATTAAGAAATTTAAATCTTACAGTGACCCCCCCCCCAAAAAAAAAAAAATATATATATATATATATATACAAAGAAAAACTTTGGCAACCTTTATTCCCTAAGGTGGTATGTGGCTGAATTTCTACTTCACTGCAGTAAAAAAAAACAAAAAAATTGTGTTTTGTATTGGCCTGTAGAAAAATGCACATACCAAATGGCTCACAAGAAGTGACTGTGGATGAGATTACTGCGCGTACGCATCCCCGCAGCATTGGCATGTTGCTCCACAGGCGCAGGGGGGAGGTCTGGTTTCTCCGTTAGGGCGTCAGGGCGACATGGCATTTAGAACGTCAGACAGCACTTCTGAAAAACTAGATTGGGAGATCCAATGTTGCAAGGAGTTTTGTGATATCTGGTATTGCGTGGGTCCTCCTTGTGGCTGGCTCCAAATCCATTCGGAGTTCCCCCAACAGCTCCAAAATGGCAATGCTGGATTAACGATATGTTTTGATGATCGTTTCACACAGAGTGAAAAAACACATTCTCTGTGTCTCCTTGCTTCATTTCGATGTCTCCTTCTTGCGACAATAACCGCTGCCATGTGTGCGCAATTATGCATACGAAACGTGTTAAATATAGAGTCAGATACCGTTAGCAAAATTGCTTTCAGGTTTAATCACTTTGCGAGTGCTAAATTAATATATTTACATGTTCTCTCACAAGACACCCTTTTTTTTAAAAGACCAAATCCTTTTAGCACGCTGTTGATAGATCAGTTTGTACATTTTTTAGCGTGCGCAGTGAAATAGCTCATGTTTTTAATACACGCAAACCTTTGATAGATCCGGCCCTTAGTGTTTTTCAACCATTGCAGCATTTCTGGCTTGAGGTGTTTTAGGCAAGTCTACACCAGGGGTGCAGTTTTAAGAATGATTAGCTTCTTCTTCTTGAAGATGATTGACAAAGAACTTAGGGGCTCATTAAAATCCTTACTAATTTAAGAGTTAGGCTCACACTTAGGAGCATGGGCTTCTTTCCAAGTGCTTTTACTTGTGTGTTTCTTTGCAGCTCCCTCACTCCTGGTGGGTAATTTGGTTTCTCCTTTAATTTGTTTTCTCTTCCTCAATGTAGGAAGGCCATGTTTTAGCAAGTTTGCAGTTAATAAAAAGATTGTAAATTAACTGAACAATGCTCTTTAAGATCCTCCAAGACTGGTGACCTTGCTTAACGCTTGACTAATGATCTGTAACAAATGTTCACAAACAGTTGTGTTGAAAAGTGGATGAAATTACAGATTGGTGGGCTGTACTTACCAACAAGTTACTTCACAAGGGAAAGTGATCCAATGCACCCCACATCTTACATATTTATTTGTAAAACAATTTAAAAACATGTATCCCTTCGTTTCAGCATCACAAACTTGTAAGTTTAGGCAGTGTGAATACTTTGGCAGGAAAATTGATGATTTCTATTGTCATGCAGCAATAATATTTGTATCATTTTGAGACAAACATCAGGTGGACATTGAACTCAGCTTTATCCATCTTACATCAGCTGGTGTTTTTCTGACCTTATGTAATGCTGGATAATATTTGATGGCCTCTCTCTTTGAACTGTGTGAGTAAAAAACAAGCACAACGAGCTCTTAGTGCAGGAGACAAAGCAGTGCTGCTTTTATTTTTTATAATCTTTATAATACGTCAATAATCTCTCAGTGCAAACACTTAGTATAAAATATTGTCTTTAACAAAATTTACATTCACATAAAACATCTCCATAAATACATCTTCAACGAAAAGAACCTGACAAATATCAAAGAATTCAGAATATAGCTCAGAAATAGACAAAATGAGCAGGTCTTACCTACATATAACAACTATAACCCGTATCATATAGTATGAAAATATCCAATTTACAGAAAAAATATTATGGATAATTAATTTCCAGTAACTTCTCTTCAACTATTTTAAATAAACTTTATAAAAATCCTCATTTCAAAGCTCAAAGAAAGCATCAGAGATACTAGATATTTCATCTATGTTAAATATAAGTACAACACATCTGTCATTTAAATTTCCAAAATCAACTCTTGCCTTCTATTTAGTGAAAAAAAAACAACTGTTCAGGAACAGTTCGAATAGTAAAAATACAGGCATTCAACAAACAAACAAAAATCCCATGAGAACTGTAGCCACGGCTATTTAGTTGTGCTACAGCTTGACAGGAAAAGTTTGATATGTTTATGAAAATAGGTTGGCACGTTTGAAAGAAACAGCTTCCTTTTTTTTAATACAGCAGGACCCCACTAAAAAACAAACTGCTTCAGCCTGATGCCTATCAATCCTGGAAAAAAAACACCCTCATTTAGATTCACACATCAAGCTCATAAAGAAGTTGTTTTAATAAAGCAGCCTACATTCAAGAGAAACCGATAATGTTAGTGCATGCATGAGGACAATATTAAAAAAGAGCCTCTGAGTGTCTGCTGCTTGCGCTGCATCAGTGTTTCATCAAAGCATGCATGTACGAGCCACAGCCTTGCAGGCATTGCATGCTAAAACTGATTAGAGGAGAGTTAATGGCTGTGGTAAGCCGTACTGCGAATGCTATACTATAAAATAAATCGTCTGGGTTTGCATGACGAAGCCAGAACCAGAGATTTGGGTGTCTCCTCATAAACACACATTTTCTTTTTTCTACGAAACAGCTTTGTCTTTAATAAAAACAACTGAAAAGCACATTTCTACAGGAGCATATATGTCTTCGTAAATACAAAACTGTTTGCTTTGAAAAAAAAAAGAGGCTATCACACCAAAAATAAAACAAAAGCTCCCCAAGTCATGCTTCAATCCCACAGAGATAAGGACTGTTGTGGCTAGCTATGCACACTCTATTAGCTACAAACACTATCAGGTCAACTCAGGACCTAGCAGGCTACAGCATGCAAAAAGGGAGAACGCGATAAGACGCGTTAACGGTAGGAGACAAACTGCTTTATTGCTACACTTTGACAAGGAAGAGTCTGGAAGTCAAGCATCACAGGGAAACGGACGGCATTCACAACAAAAATGCAGCTATGGTATCATGCACTTAAAGAATTGTAATAAAAAAAAATAACTTGTACTTTTATGGTGTTTTAGTAAGATGAACAGCATCCCCGACCCGTAAGTGCCATGTCTTTTTTGAGCAATCTCTAAATCTGCTTGCACTGTCAAACATTTGGCTTTAAAAGTACACTGAGGCAGCAATAACCCTGTTAAAGTCTCTCGCCACCAAATTTCCACAAATGAACTAAAAGGCAACAGAGTCCCAAACTTTGTGTGAGTAGCAGCCTCTAAGGCAACAGCACTGACATGGTATGTACACTATAATAAACTGGTCATTTTAAAGGAACTTCTAGGTGTTAGTTGTTGTTAGATGATTGCATGCTACACTGTCAGTTTTGGAAAAGGATATTGGATCCCAGAGACTCCTTGGCCTTGGGTTGATGACGAAGCATCACGTGGCGAATGCATCCCATATCCTGACTGAGGCAAACTGCTCGAATGGAGAGGGAGAGTCGGATCAAGGTGTTGGATGGTCCCATAGCGAAAGAAGACTTGAATCCTGGGCCTCCCGCTGGTCTATCAGCTTCTGCTCTTTTCTGTACTCCACTACCAGAAACACTATGATCAAGAGTAGAGGCAAGCTTTTCTCTGCTACAGCGATCCTTTTACCCATCTCCACTCTTTTTTTTTATTACTCCCAAACTCTCTTTGGGATAGCATGCATTACACCACTGCTGCAGAAGCTGATGGCAGATACCTGGTAGTGCTGGTGGATGTGGTAACTTTCGGCACGCCTGGGCTCGGGGTCCTGATGTTTGAGTAGCTGGTCACTGTTTGTGTGGGACTAAGCTTGGTGCAAACACTGCTGTGGGTAAAGGCGCTCGACCGTCGCTCACTGTTGGTGTGCTGTGGCTGCTGGCTCTGAGATGGCCTGCTCCCTTTCCTGCATCCCTCCAGAAAGTATGTAAGCATCTGGCCTTTGCCCTTCACACTGACTTGACCCCGACACACAAAGTTGTAGTAGTCGGAAATGAGGCGGTAGACATCCTCTGTCACCTAAAGGATGAAAATAGATGACCATTAGGTGAAATATGAATTTTAGACTGTTGTGAGTCAATCTGAATAGCCTAATCAGCATACTGGGATCCAACAATATTAGGTCCACTTGTCAAAGAGCAAAAAAACGTGAGAAGTCTGTAATGTTTCTGTGAAATGGTACAATGAGCATTTAGAGCAAATAGTCTCTGAGACTGAAAAGAAAATGTAACGAAGTTTCATGTAATATAATGAGGTAATTCTGTATATTCAGAGCTGTATATGAGGGGTTTCACCATTTTCAAGCAGAGTAGAATTTTTACAATTTTTCCTGCTGAGTTCTGTAACTCAGAAATCAAGATGTTTTCACTGATCACTTTCTGGATTAATTGCAAATGCAAATTAATATTTTTATCTCCTCCCTTTAAGTCCTCTTCACTCCCGAGGGGCACGCAATTAATATGCAGTACAGTGATTTGGATGAAGTCTGTGTTAAATGTCACTGATGTGTAACTTGTGCATTTACTCTGCAAACCTTTGCCATTCCATTTGGTGTCTCTCTGATGCCGCCACCATGTTTGACTTTTCTTTGAGACTGTATTTTCTATTCATATATCTGGAAGATTAGTTTTTGTTCTTCCCAGGAGGAATACAGTACTCTACCTTCTGCGCTCATGATTAGGATAGGCCTGCTACTTTTAACTCACGCCTTTATACATGCATGTTCAAAGGTTCATGATCAGTTAAAGCTGGATTGAGTTAGCATTTTGATAAACAGCTTTATGGTACCGCTGATCCTGATCATTTTTGCGTATTGTTTAATTGGATGGGCTGGGAGTAATCCATCTAGGTTGAGTTTGCTTCGTGGTACAGGCCTCTAATCTCCATCTCCCCTACTATTCCTATTGGTACAAAATCCTTTCATGCTGACGTTGACATCATTACCAGAAATAAATAATTACATCTGTATATGAAAAAATATTTATATAAATTTCTTTTTGTAAATTACTGTATTTTGCGCACTATAAGGCACACCTTCAATGAATTGCCTATTTTAAATTTTTTTTTTCCTATATATGGCGCACTGCACTATAACAAGCATAGAATAGAAGCTACAGCAGTTATTAGGGTGGCGTTATGCATACATTAGATGCAGCTGCGCTAAAGAGAATGTCAATAAAACAGACAGATAAGCAGAGATGGCAAAAGTACTCACTTTCCATACTTGAGTAAAAGTACAGATACTTGTGTTAAAAAATACTCTGGTTAAAGTGGAAGTACTGATTAAACTTCTTTACTCAAGTAAAAGTAACAAAGTACAGGCTTGTAAATTTACTTAAAGTATAAAAGTAAAAGTAGAAACCACTTTTTTCATGCCGTTGCCTACATTTTAAATGGATGTCTGCCAATAGGACTAGATCTCCGTTGTGCTCATTTTTAATCATCTCGTCGTCCATACTACTATGCTAACGCCACCGCCACCAAGCTGCAATGATTTGCCGCGAATGAATACCACCGAATCTGTCGATTCATCTTGTAGTGGTGCGTCAAATGCAACGTAGATTCCCATCCAATTAGATTGAATTTGGTATTGATGACGTGAAAAATAATAACGGTAACTCCATTAAAATGATTCAAAACTAAAGTAACGAGCCAATTTTTTAAAATGTAAGGAGTAGAAAGTACAGATATTTGTGTAAAAATGTAAGGAGTAGAAGTAAAAAGTCGCCATAAAAATAAGCAGTAAAGTAAAGTAAAAATATCAGAAAAATCTACTTGAGTACAGTAACGAAGTATTTGTACTTCGTTACTTCCCATCTCTGCAGATAAGTAAGTCAAACTTTATCTGTATATCATTTGCAATATGACCAACTTTCTTCAGCTGTAAACACACAAAAGAAACGTACATTTTAATTTATTTGTTCATTTCTCCATCAACGAATCCCTCAAATTCTTCTTCTTTACTGTCCGAAATGAACAGTTGAGCTAATACAGGATTCAACACGCCCTGTGTTTGCCTTCTGTCATTCACTGCTCCCCCAAAGTTCACAGTCTAGCTTTGAATGCCCTGTTGACACCAATATCTAGCCGCTTGAATTATTTTGTCAATCAACCCAGAATGACGACAAGCACTAAATTAGTGAACTTCACTTGTTTTTTGAAACCATCGGTGATGTGAGAGCGAATCGAGACGTAGATCAATAGGGACGAAGCTGTGTGAAAAAAGCCATCCTGTCTCCTGACATAAATTTCTCTCAACCACTCACCCATCTTCTCTTCATCCATCCATTCCATTGAGGTAGCTTTGATAACAACGCTGGTAGCAAAGTTTTCTTTTGGCAAGGTCTTCCTCTTGACAATAACCATGGGTGGACGTTTCTGGCCATTAGCTTGGCAGGCAAGAACTAAGGTGAAAGAAAATTCACCTTACGGGCTCATATTTTATTTACAGTGCGGTTCACAGGAATATCAAAGGTGAGTGGAACTTCGTCTATGTTGAGTATGTGCTCTGGCCGGATAATTTTTTAAGTGATCTTGTTTTTGCAGTATGCATGGGAAGGGGCCAGGTTTTCTTGGTAGTCTTTTGGCAGTTGCTGTGAAACAGTAGTCTGTCTGCTGATTGAGAGATTACACGTCTTTTCATAAACTGAAAGCCTCAAGAATGTCCGCCTCTATAGTCATTGATGTTGAGTTTGTGTGGTAGCGCTCCTACTTGCTGCTCTCTTTTTAATAAACCACAGTTTGAGTTTGTTCTCTAACTGTATTCATCTTGATTTGTTCTCTTGGAAACTCTGTTTAGTCTTCTTACTTGGTGCAAGTCATCTTCTTGCTTCCTCCACTTCAGTACCATTGATTCATTAATGTTCAATTCTCGAGCTCTATTACCATGTTTTACTGTGTAACTGATAGCTTTGAGTTTTAGCCCTGGGTTATATGCATGTCTCTAGAAAGGAGCCATTATGGTGTTTTAACACACACAAATGGAAATGAAAATTCCCAGTATCCACTGCGTGCTACGTCTTCTACAGGAGAAAATGGAGTTGGTGGCTGCTCCCTGTAGTTGCAAGACCTGTTTATGCTTAATCCTGGTCCATACATAGGGCACACCGGATAATTAAGTGCACTGTCAGTTTTTGAGAACAATGAAGGCTTTTAGGTGCGCCTTATTGTGCGAAAAAAATTATGAAATAATTATTCTCAACCATTGTAGACATTCTTTGGATGCTTTTTTTTTTCAAAAGTTTAAATGCTTCAAATTATCATATTTTTACCATGATTAAACACTAATAAAAAAGTTCTCAGGGATCCTTTTGAGGGTTGTACAGGTTCGCTGTTGCTTCCAAAGTTAAGCTTTTAGTAGCTAAAAAACTGGAGCTATTGTTTATAGTTCCATACCTGTATTTTTCCTTGAACTCCTGTACTGTCCATCCTGCTGGCTACATTTACTGTGTTTCCCCAGATATCATACTGAGGCCGACGGGCTCCAATCACTCCTGCCACCACAGGGCCAACGTTGATTCCTAGAGTAAAACAGGTGATAATGTCCCAAGTGTCACATATTAATACATAGTTGGATGTGTGTATATATCATGTAAAACTGTAACTAGAGCGTGTAACAAAAGTAATTTCCCTCTGGGATTATTAAAGTATTTCTGATTCTGATTCTGATATATGTATTGTAATAAATAATATTTAACCCTGGTAGATTACTTATTTTCCGTGTATGATCTGAATCTGATCGTGCAAGGTTTTATTTGAATATCAAATATGAAATCTTCCTTTTTTCAGAGAGAAGCAAAGAAAGTAATGAGCTATAAAAAATAATCATAGAAAACCTTCCTGAGATCTAAACCAGGAATCCAATCATGTAGGGAGTGCGATAAATTAACACTAAATATGTTAAAAAGCAAAAGCAGAACCTCTAAGTAGAATTAATGGGTTAACTGATGGTGGCTGTGCAAAAACTCAGGCTGAATTTGTGAAGGTGAGAAAAACAGAAAAACAGCAAAACATAGATATCTGTAAGATAAGCAGTGTTTGTTGTGACTATTTACATATTGTAATAAAATAGTGCAAAAAAAAAAACCCTGAGATGAGAATTCAGAAATTAAAGGAATGCTAAGGCAATAAAAAGAGTTAATGTTGCTAAAAAGAAAGAGAAAAACCTTCCACTTATTCAACTTTGTGTCTGCAGTATCAGTATAAACTATCATGACCCCTGACAATATGATTTGAGAAGGAATTACAGAAGTTTATTGAAGATGAATATTGTTCTAAAAGCATAAGAATATGCTTCCCTAGTAATATTTTGCCCTGTGATGAACTGGCAACCTGTCCAGGGTGTACCCCGCCTCTTGCCTGTAGACAGCTGGACATAGGAAGCAGTACCCCTCATGACCCAGTGGGGATAAGTGTAACAGAAAATGGATGGATGGATGGATAGTAGTATTTTCACATATAAGTATTATTTTATTTCTCAACATTGTGCTGCAGGTATTTGATTTTGAGAAGACTGTTTAATTAAATATTTACAAGAAAAAGGATTAGACAGCCAAATATTTCTTCGTATGCTTATACCAACCATAAAGTACAACTAAAGAGGTATAAAACATCCCTGCAGTAGCTGTAGAAACCTTACTTCAGGAAATGTTCAGTCAGATTTCTGCACCTGTGACAGGTATACTGTTCATGAGGAAGGTACTTTAATTTGTCTGGGACAGTTTGATTTTTTAGAATTATTTTTCAAACCAAAATTTAAAAGCAATATTTAATTTTACTAAATTACAATTTAGTACATTTTGTATTTATTATTATTGTTTCATTTTTGTGTTATTTGAATTACTAGTGTGAATTTATCATTTTCTATAATGTGAGGGTATGTAAACTTTCAAGCACAGCTGTAAGTGTCTGGGGTCAGAAAATATTAAGATAGGTAGAATCAGATAAAAAACTGCCTCCCATTTTTTTTTATCAAATCTTTCCCCTCATAACAAAGAAGCATATATATACCTGATAAAACTTGGAAAAATTTAGGAAAAACCATAAAGCTGAGTCTAGCTTATGTCTTCTGTATTCCATTATAAGCTATATGCAGTTTTTCATGGTTAGCAAGAAGTATTTTTTACCAGCTATAAAACGGTGGTATCATATCTTTACCAATAAAAAAGCGTCTCTCTTGGTTTAAAATAATGACAAACACATGCATTTTTTTGAATTAAATCTAATTGAATACCAAATATTCTACAAAGATGCCAATCAATCAAATCAAGCAAAGTATAAAAGCCTGACTATGCAAACAGGATAACTCTGTACACCAGCGCATAGCGGGATTAAAACAAAAAACTCTCCACAGGATACGGAACACAATGGAACCAAGAACCTCAGTTTACAGGCTTCCTGGAGATGACGCTCTCTCTGATGTATATTCCTGGCAAACTTACTGGAATGCCCCCCTCAAAACCAAAAGGTTAAAAGGTCTTTAATGTTCGGACCACTTAGAGGGTTATTCTCTTTACCCACCTACTCTTAAGACAAAGTCGTTGTAGGACTGGTAGTTGATGGCATCAAGAACATCAAACATCTCAATGGCAAAGTCTGACACCATGCGTAAGTGTGAAGTGATGGACTTTTTTGTCTGAAAGAAAAAACACATGAAAAATGCAAATTAGCTCCAAAAACGTATCTCGCTTCTAATAAATAGGATGTATGAATCAGATAAGTTTTAAATCTGCCTAAATTTCTATTCATGCACTGCAAAAACGATCTAGAAATAAGTAAAAACGCCTTAAATAAAGTGTATTTGCCCTTAATTTGAGCAGATAAATAAGAAGATTTGCCAATGGAATGAGATTTTTTATACTTAAAATAAGATCAATAGATAATATGCATTTGAAATAAGCTAATATAATTGTTTTTTTTGTTTTTGTTTTTATGTAAATCGTCTTGTTCCATTGGCAAAGGGACTCAATTACCTCCTCAATTCAAGACAAAATGCACTTACTTTAAGAAAAAATGACTTTAGATTTATCTTTTTTGCAGTGTGTTCTTGCCAAAAGTTTGACTTTCTCTATATTTCAATGTGTTTCATTATATTCCCTGTTTTTATAATGGTTGTTCAAAGTTGTTTTGGGTTTTTTGTTTTAACATTGTTTACTTTTTCATAAAATACCTTGACTAAAGCCTGTTTAATAAAAAACATAGTTGACAAAAGAGGAAGTCTTAAGCCTTTAAAAGACTATGTTCAAGACTGACTGAATGTCATTTCTTCAAGATTGAACATAATGTCCTGTAAATTTAAAATAAATAAATCAAACAGACTTTACAAAGGCATAATAGATGTATCATCTTTGGATGCATTACCCAGTTTTACCTCACTATTGTTGTAAAGCTGCGACATCCTAATACTGATTTTAAGTAACGGAGTGTTCTGCTTGACAACTAGGAATAACAACAAAGAAAACATTTCTCTATGTATTACATAAAAATTCAGCTGTCTTGAAAATAAAATGCTTTAGTGAAATAAAACCAGGTTAGCATGTTCTGTCTTCACTTTAATCCTTATATAAATTTATCACAGTTTAGTATTTTGTTGTTGCACATTTAAAAAACTCAATTCATTTCCTTTCTTAAAAGCATATTTCAAAATAGCCCTTGAATCTAACTGATTTTCTTTAGAGAAACACATTCTGATGTTCAGTTGTAAACTGCATTGGTCAAATATTCAACAATCTATTGTAGTTGTTTATGAAACTTTCAGGACCTTTATCTGTAAATGATCCATAATTAATATAAGCAGAGGCACTTTACACTATGTACAAGAGAGTAGTCTCTGTTAGACAAGTTTTTTTGTTTAACAGGATTTAACATGAAAGAAAACAACAAATGATTACAGACTTCGCAACTTTTAAATGTGTCCCTTGCCCTAAACGCCGGAAATAAATGGCTAACTAAACTAGCTCCCTAGCAGAAGTCCAACAGTTTTCCAAAAGAGCATATATTGGAGTCAGGTGTGTAGAAATAGAAACATATCTAACAATTGCAAGATGTCGGCTCTTGAGAATTGGAGTTTGAGAGCACTGCTTTAACTGTCATTCATAGATAGATAGATAGATAGATAGATAGATAGATAGATAGATAGATAGATAGATAGATAGATAGATAGATAGATAGATAGATAGATAGATAGATAGATAGATAGATAGATAGATAGATAGATAGATAGATAGATAGATAGATAGATAGATAGATAGATAGATAGATAGATAGATAGATAGATAGATAGATAGATAGATAGATAGATAGATAGATAGATAGATAGATAGATAGATAGATAGATAGATAGATAGATAGATAGATAGATAGATAGATAGATAGATAGATAGATAGATAGATAGATAGATAGATAGATAGATAGATAGATAGATAGATAGATAGATAGATAGATAGATAGATAGATAGATAGATAGATAGATAGATAGATAGATAGATAGATAGATAGATAGATAGATAGATAGATAGATAGATAGATAGATAGATAGATAGATAGATAGATAGATAGATAGATAGATAGATAGATAGATAGATAGATAGATAGATAGATAGATAGATAGATAGATAGATAGATAGATAGATAGATAGATAGATAGATAGATAGATAGATAGATAGATAGATAGATAGATAGATAGATAGATAGATAGATAGATAGATAGATAGATAGATAGATAGATAGATAGATAGATAGATAGATAGATAGATAGATAGATAGATAGATAGATAGATAGATAGATAGATAGATAGATAGATAGATAGATAGATAGATAGATAGATAGATAGATAGATAGATAGATAGATAGATAGATAGATAGATAGATAGATAGATAGATAGATAGATAGATAGATAGATAGATAGATAGATAGATAGATAGATAGATAGATAGATAGATAGATAGATAGATAGATAGATAGATAGATAGATAGATAGATAGATAGATAGATAGATAGATAGATAGATAGATAGATAGATAGATAGATAGATAGATAGATAGATAGATAGATAGATAGATAGATAGATAGATAGATAGATAGATAGATAGATAGATAGATAGATAGATAGATAGATAGATAGATAGATAGATAGATAGATAGATAGATAGATAGATAGATAGATAGATAGATAGATAGATAGATAGATAGATAGATAGATAGATAGATAGATAGATAGATAGATAGATAGATAGATAGATAGATAGATAGATAGATAGATAGATAGATAGATAGATTATTCAAAACAAACACTATGAGTACCTTAGAAGCAGTTGTAGGGACCAGCCCCACTGCAGCCATATATGTACTACCAATGGTCTTGATTTTCTCAATATCCCTGTAGCAATCTTTATCCATGAGCTGCAAAAGAAAAACAGACATTTCAAGATAGTAAAAAAAAAAAAGAGTTCTCAAATAAGATTTCAAAACAGGCAAATCCTCTGTAAATCTGTATTGCAGCTTGATAGAAAAATGTTTGAGTAAAGGCATGCTTGGTTCTGCTGATTACAGATCCAAAGAGGCCAGGGATCATCTGTAAGTAATTTGTTACATTGAAGAACTTTCCCAACCATAACCAAAGTTTGGTATATTACATCAGTAAACATGGTATTTCTATAAACCCAACTCTGGGCCACAATCTCATTTTTAAAAGATGACGCTCTGTGTATCACCCTGCACTCAGCAGGAGCTTGTAGACCTAAGATCGGCATTGTGGAACAAACCATCTAAAAAACAGATGATTTATAGATAGAGGGTGAAATTAAATGAACGGTTTAAACCACCTCATCGAAGTCCGCAATGATCTCATTGAGCAGCCTCAGGCACTCGACTCCCATGTTGTTCCCATCCAGCTCGATGTAGAAGTCATTGAAGTTGGCGATGGAGGCAAACAGAACACCAACTTGAGCATAGGACTGATAATAAAGGTCCTGAAAGGAATAAAAAAGAACATAAAAAAAAAAAACTTTTTTATCCTTTTGGTGTTGAGTCTTGATTAACTCTAACGATTTTCATTAACTGTTATTTTCAGTTGCTCTTGTCTCGTACAACTCATTCAGTCTGACTATATTCTTAATAAGCTCACCTGTTGCCATGCAAGACTTAACTCAGATTTTTAACTGTCCTTGTTGGATGCTTATTATTGCTTATTAGGGGCATAAGTGAAAAGATAAAACAATAGTGTTTATTTAAATGTCTTTTACACCTTAACATGGCTTATTATTTGGAGATACTTAGAAAAAATTGTTCTTGCTAAAATGATTAACCTTTTGGAAAATCCCCACGCAAAATTGTTAGGGTTAAAATAAGAAACAAAATCTGGGAGGGGACCCAGCACAGTTCTCTTACGTACACCGCAGTTTTACTGCTAAGCCACTAGCCTTCACAGAAAACTACCATGAGTTTTTTTTTATTGAAAGGTGGACTTTTAAAGACAGAAAAGATGACAACAACTAGATATCTCATGAAAGCAAAGACTGAATGAGTCAAGCAGTAACTAGCCCAAGCTGCTCTTAAAACAACAACGTACTTACTGCAAAACTGGACAAAACAAGTATAATATTAGAAAGAGAATTTATATTATCACACAATGAAAATATGTCATGGGTGTTTAGGAAAAAAAAATATATTTAAGAAGTTGTTCTGTTCTGTTTTACTTGTGTAAAGTAAAGATTGTGTAAAGGCACTATTCACCCAACTCTTCCTTAGGAAGGGCATGAAGAGGAGCATAATCTTGCACTTTTTCTTCAGCATCATCAGATTTCTTGTCACATGCGTTTTTTTTTTCTTTCTTTTTAAAACACTCATGACAAATACTGCATGGAAACTAAAGATAGCAAATATGCAGAGTTTTGAGTTATGATCATATGTTTAGAGAACAGTCAAGGTGAAAAGGAGCAGAGCTCCAAAGTCTTTTTCAAATCTCCTGCATTCATGCCTGGTACTTTTATTATCTCAATAAACATTATTTCAGTTGCTAATGAACTTATATGAAATAATTAGAAAATTGAGCAAAACACGAAATTGTGCCTATATGTCAGGATAAAAGAAGCTTCCCAAGCCAGTGAAAATGTTTTCTTAAACCACACTGTGAGAGGAGTGAAACTCCAAACCCACATTGCTGTGCTTTGAATGCAGTCTATGCTGAACTTTAGCCCAGAGGAAACAGATGAAGTCTTTCTGAACACTGCAACTCTGTGGGGGTCAATTTTGTGCTGGAAATAAACATCCTGGCTGATCCACACTGTCTGATGCATTGCCCTGCTGATTGTCGAAGGATAAAACTGCTCTTGTTTCTTTTTTTTTTTTTTTTTGGAAAATTTCCTATACCCAGAAATGCAAGAGTGTTCTTCAACAAGCTGTTTAGGAAAGGTGCCTTTATGTCAGAATAAAATTTTCCAGCCTATCCTAAATAGTCCCAGTGCAATTGTATTGCTATTTAGTTGTGCTGTGTAAAAAAAAAACAAAAAAACCTTTCTCTTCAGTTATTTGAGGATTTTTTACACTTACAACTGCTGGCCTTAAGTTGTATCTAACTGTGATTTGATTTTTTATCTATAAAATCTGTAAAGCTTCAATTAGCTCTTTTTAAAATCAGAATACAATGAATATTTCTGCTTTTGGACAGTTTTTATTCATTGATAAACAGCTATTTTTCTTAATGATACAAAGCTCTGCACTTTCAGGAAACGTTAGGAAATACCACACAGATTTTCTTTTGGTATTATTTCTGAGGAGGACATGACAAATAAGTGACAGGTATGTTAAGTATTCAGAGTTTTCAGACACTGAATCATGGGTTTAGAAAAATAATTGAGCTCAATTTTAGAAGTGGTCCTGTTTTCAATATAATGACTTAGTAAAAACCAAAAACATGTGGGGGTGGGGCAATGAAGGTGCTTACATCATTTCAGCAGGAATTATCAGTGAAATGGGCAATAAATGGGTGGATGTGTTTACGAGTTGAACATAAACCACAAATTCGTTGCAGCAGAAAGGTTTAAAAAGATTATGGAATTTTAAACACAGCTTAGAAAAAAAAAAAATATGTTTTTTAAGTTATTACTATATTTCAGAACATAAAGCTGTTCTGTAAAACTGAGCTCTGGTGACTGTTGCACACAATTTATAAAGCACTGTAACAACTTTAAACATGGCCCTGTATATCAGGACAATATAAATGGAAGGTAATAAGGTTAATGACTTTTGTTGCTCACTTATTGTAAAATAAATATTAGTGAGCAACTGTTTGACAACAATCTATAGCTTTAAATTGCTTGAACTACTCTCATAGCCCCTTTTGATTTTGAAATTACAGCCCAAGTGTTATTAGCAAATTATAAATGAAGCATTTTTTAAAAGTCATCAGAGGGTGTAGATTCAGTTCTTGATTATCTTGTAAACCTGATGCTTCTGCATTTATCAAATTATTTCAATTATTTACACAGGTCAGCATTTTTGATGGGTCTGTCTTTCTTCTTACAGTCTGCTTTCAACTAAATACATCAATGCACATGTCTCACCATGTTTCTTGGGTTTGACATCAGGAAGTGCTGAGCCACATGAGCTGGAAGCAGGTTGAACAGTATTCTCTTATTGTCCAGCTTTACCTTCTCCATATCATCTCTCTCCTCTTCTGCCTAGAATTCCAATAAACAGAGGACATTGGAATGGAGATGTAATAGCCAGCCTATATCACTAGAGGGAGATAATGATTAGCAAACAAGAGAGATTAAGTTTTTCTTAAAACACCATCACCCTGGATTACAAGAAACTGGAGCTTTGGAAAAACAAATTTGAAATATAATTAATTGTAATATTAACTTGTATTTAACAAATGTGTAATACTTAGTGCCAAGAAGATAAAAGTACAGAGGTAATAAAGAGTGAATTGATATGATATCCATTTGCTGTATCTTCACTTCCTCTTTATGTTTGGTAAATAAACAACCAAACTTTAAATCCAACATTAACAAAATGGCTCAATTACGTTTTTAACAGTTATAAATGTTAAAAAATTTACTATATTTCAGCAACTACTGCATTTATAATATGTCAAAAGTACAACAGAAACATATAGCATCCGGACCTTTTTTTGACCTCCTACATCATTAGATATTTCTGGCAAGGTTTGTATGTTAAGGTAACATGTTTTTGACCATGGCCCCATGTAATATTTGATTTTACAAACTTTATAAATCTACTACTCTACAACAAAATATCTTTTATTTTTTTATGGATTCACTGTGGTGCAGCCTAAATAGGGACTAGCACCTCTGGGCTTGTGTAAACGAACTGATGAAGGAAACATTGAAATGCTGCTCAAACAGTTGAAGCATAGATATTTACCATGTATGTTTTATGCAGTAGATCTTATCATTTTTGAAAGTTCTTCAATCATCTTCAGAAAGATGTAAAAGTCTGCATTTATCTAGTTTCTTTAGTGTAATTAAACAAAAGTTCACAAACACTTTTGAAAATGTTTCTATTCTTATAAGCAGTACAGTCGAATGCTAAGAACAGACTTTTTTTTTTTGCAAAGAAATACAAAAAAAAAAATATGCTTCAAATAATATCAGAAAAAGCTTGTTCTAAGTAAAGGTCAGGACCCAGGAGCAGTTAGAGTTCTTTATGTTGGATGTATTCTCACCTGTGTTGCCCAAAGATAGTCAAGCCGCAGCTTCAAATCCAACTGCCTGGAATGAAGAGCCAGAGCTCCTGAAAACAGCAGGACAGCCAACACTGGATCGTAGCCCCTTGTGTGAAGAAAGCCGCCACTGGACCATGATTTAAACACAGAAAAGAAAATAATCTCTATTATCTAATAATAATGATAAAAAAAGGTCTAATTTAGGGATTTCATTTGGTGCTGCCAAGAATGAGGTATTCGGGTCCACCAAAGTTAAAGTTCAAATTCTTTAATTTATGTTTTAGCTATCAAATCAACTTCTGGTGGTGTTATAATCCTTAAGCACCACAAAATATACAGTTTTGACAACAGGGATGAAATCTTAATTTGTAATCCAGCACCAAACTGAAGTAAGAGCGTCTCACCCCACCGCCTGTCGGTAGCCACTGCTCTCCATAACCGCCGTGTAGGTAACAGAGACGATGAAGAGCAGCAAAATCTTAGGGAGAGATGAAACACGGAGGTAAGGGACTACAGTTAGGGTCCCCGCCACACAGGACAGCAGGGCATAAGCCATGCTGGGAACCATCCTGTCCACTGTGGAGCTGTTGGAACGTCCAACGCCGAGGGCATTGGCAGGGATGTCTTCCACAAAACGGCTAGAGTTCCTCTCAATTTTACCCCAAGGCACACAACCCGCCTGCAAGAAGTCACATGTGGTCGTCACTGATCTCCCACTTACAAATCATGCAGTATGAAGTACAGATTACTATTAGCAGTCCAAAAAATATGCGTTTCATGATATAATCATGATGATGTAAGAATTAATGGATTACCATTATGGATTATGGAATGGATTACAAGTAAGTGACTATTTGACTGCAATAAAACAACCTTTCCTATTGGTGTATTGGGGTTCAGGTTCGTAAACATCTATGAGGGCTAATATTAGAAGCTAAAGACATATTTTTGTTCTACCCCAGAGATTATAGATCTTTATTCCCCCTCCTCAAACTGAACAATAGTAAATACTTTATTCATGCTCTTCACTCTTCACTATATCAAGACAGTCCAATTAGTAAAATAATAAGATATAAAATAAAACAGAAAACCATATCATTCAAGATTAATATTCTAACTTATATTAAGTAATATCCATCAATTTTCCGTCACGCTTATCCCAAGCGGGGTCGCGATGTATGCTCGTGCCTATCTCCAGCTGTCTAAGGGCGAGAGAGGGGGTTCATCCTGGACAGATCACCAGTCAATTACAGGGCAACACAGGACAAACAACCATTCACACACACCTAAGGAAAATTTAGAGAAGCCAATTAACCTAGCAGTCATGTTGTATCAGGAGAGAACCCACGCATGCACAGGGAGAACATGTAAACCAAATGCAGAAAGACCCCGGGCCGGGAATCGAACCCGGAACCTTCTTGCTGCAAGGCAGCAGGAGTACCCACTATTTCACTTATCAGTCGTATTAAAGTAATATTTTCAACAAATGAAAATTTTAATGCAGAAATTAAAAAAAATTAAAATAAAAAGAGTCTTTTCTACAGCAACAAGAAGCAAATCCCTGCATCTGAACAAGGAAGGAGCTAACAAAGCTAAATGTAATGGGGGGAAAAGTACATCCTCTTAATTTTTTTGTTAAGTTTATGTGTTATGACATATTAAAAATGATTTATTCTCCTGGATATAGAGGTTATTATCAATGCACTTTTCTACCTTCTGTAAGCACATTAATTTTTAATAGAATTATTACTGCAGACTGTTGGGGCCTTGCGCCATTTCTGTGTTGATCTAGTTTCTCTTTCCTGCTCAAAGCAATATTTTTAACCATGTTTCATATCTCAGGTAAAATCCAATAGAAATTTATATGAAATTTAATTGTATTGTATTCACACTGAACTCCAGTGAAGCGATCATGGGATCAATTTTTAGCAAATACATGTTTTGTTCTAGGCAGGTCTTGTTGTGATTTACTTGTTTAAAAAAAGATCTTTATCTTAATATAATTTAACCAAAGCATAGGGTTCCAGTTGAAATCCTAGAGCAGGCGAGTAAGGTACACATATTTGAATTCGCAAAGAATTTTTTTCACGTACAAACCAGGTTGACCCCTCAGGTCTTCAGAGACCTGGTTGGAAAATGTTTCCAGGATCACAACTAAACAAAGTGAGGCAGTAGTTATAGGGATGTCTATAAGAATAGATTATAGAAGGAAAGTTCAATATATTTTTACACATTTTAGAAAGTGAAACTAAATTCATTAAACACAGAGGAAAAAAATTCAAGAATCTAATTCTTTATATTTCGATGATTGTGGCTTACAGATAATGAAATTTCCAAATAAAGTGCATGAACAGCTGTTTTTTGTTGTTGTTTTTTTTGTTGGGCCTTGTTGGAGCCAAACGCTTGATTTATGATTAAATATTTATTATTTCTATTTTACTATGTTTGTCTGATTTGGTATGACATATATGAACATGAAATATTTTGGTTTGAGGTATGAGTTGACTTATGAATTATGAAATTATGAAATAAAGAATTTGTTTAGTTGTATTTTTGCTGCTGTGCATAATTTACACTGTTTCTCGCCTCCGCCCCTGCATTATAGACAGGTGACTATAGCATCTGAAATATATTAGAGTAGGCTATTGGGGTGAGCTCTTGGATTCAGGCATGCAACCATACAGTTTTTGACTGCTATTGATTATTGTTTTTTTTTGTTTTTGTTTTTTTTGAGTAGCATAAAAGGGAATGAAATGAGCCGATATGATCTGCCTGTCACGTCATACTGCGGTAAGAAATTCTAAGTTTGTTTTTTGGAAAATAAAGCTCCTTGATCGAGAGGAAATAAAGTTTGTTGGATTGCATGGTCACTTTAAAAAACATTTGACAGCGCTAAAGTGAGTGGAACTAAAATGCTTCTGAACCAAGAGCCATGTACATCTTTATTGGAAGGAATGTGCTAAAAGTCCTTTTGCATTAATTACTGGATCAAAGTGATGTGACATGGTGGCAATCAGCCTCTGGTTCTGCTGAGATGGGGAAAAAAAACAGATTGCTTTAATAACACTCCTCAGGTAAGACTCTCTATTTTGTTAAATTGTCTGACATTTTCTTTGTGATATTACCATTACATCCTCTTTTTGGTTGAAGTCAGGCCAGTTTGCTGGCCAATCTTGTTTTTGGTACCTTTTTTTTTATTTATTCCTTTATTTAACCAGGAAAAGTCCCATTGAGATTAACAATCTCTTTTTCAAGGGAGTCCTGCAGACAGCGGCAAAAGATTACATTACAGTTTACAATTACATCTTAGGCAAATCCAAAGCTTTACTGTAAAATGAAATGAGCATCTCTATAGATCTTGTCAGTAGACAGACAGAGGAAGTTCTCATTGGTTCCCTGGAAAATACTGTTGTTTACTTCTAACGTAGAGAGAGATCCAAACAGTTGACCAGCATCACGTCTGAGATGTAGCATCCCAAATCATTACTAACAGAGGGGAATTCATGCAATGTGGATTTCATGCCTCTCTGAACTTCTCTGACTCTGCTGTGAAACTTGATTTTATTAATTAAATCAAACTCTTTCATCTAAAAAAAAAAAACACACAAAAAAACATTGTACCACTGAGCTACACTTTCATTTGTGTCCTTAGCAGGTATAAGGGTCCTGACATTGTGTCTGGTTTAGGAGTCGCTTGAATGCCAAATTTTAAAACTTGTGTGTTAGTGACTTTTGATGCACTGACACCAGCTACAGTTCACTCCCAAGGCAGAGATTTTTTTTCCCTGGACTGGTAAAACAGTTGCTTGCCAACCACATGTGCTCCAGAGAGCCGCAAGTTACCAAACCCTCCACTGCAGAAAAGGCAGCTTTGGCGAGGCAAAGTAAACAGTGCCTGGTGCGTCAGCGCTGCACAAAAAACGTCTCATATTATCTTTGAAAAGGTGGTGTGTGGGAAATAAAAAAAAAGTGCAGGGGGGATCAATCAGTCGATGCCATCATCATTACTCTTACATTCCATTGGGAAAAATGTCACCATCAAATTGACTGGCAGTGAGTTCTCGTAGGATCAGGAAGTCCTATGGATTGAGTTTAACAATCCTCTCATGGCTTTGTGTTTTTTACTTTTCCTTCCCCTCTGCTTTCTGTGAATATGCTTGGACACAGCACTTTGTGAACAACCAACTTATTTAGGAATGGATTTCTATAGCTTATTCTCTTGAGGGTTTCTTCTGGACAACTGTCAAGTCAGCAGTATTACCCGAATGACAGTGCACCTTATGGACCCAGACTAAGAGATCATTTAAAGCTCATGAAACCTTTTTTTTTTTTTTTTTTTAGGAAATTTAATTTCATTTATTTTTTTGAACTGTATTATAGGTTTTCATTATCTGCCACAATCATCAAAATTAGAGGCTTGACTTATTTCACTCTGTTTAATGCAATATATGATTTTGATTTTCTAAAATGAGAGTAAAAAATACGAAACTTTTTCACAGGTCCTGTTGTGTTCTCTAATCATCATTTACTTTATAGCAGCTTATAGCTGTTGGATGTATCGATAAATTCAATGAGAGATTATGTTACTGCATTAAAGACAAAAGGAGTGCTAATAGTTACAAATATATGGGTTAGTGGTGTCAAACAAAGACTTACCACACAGGCCTGTGTAACAGAGTAGGTGAGCATAACCAAGAAGATGCAGAGGACTGTTCGAATCTGGATGGTCAGACATCCTGGTTGGCACTAGAACCACAGAAAAGAACTGATGGGCTGAGAGGCTGATGTTTAAAAGCAGCGATAAAAAAATATTTCATTTACATAGAGTATACAACTTTAAAATAAATGCATTAAACAGGTTCATCATCAATGCCAGAAATCAATAGAAATCTAAATGAATGTCTTATAATAATAGTACAAAGTCAATAATGAGAAAATAAGATATTAAAATAAAAGTATTGTATATTGTCAGAAATCTGAATAAATGTTTTAGAATAATCAGATGAACAAAATTAAAAAAGAAATTAACTAATACAAAATGAGAAGTTCCCAAATAATTAGGTAGAAATTGAACATATTGTGATTTTGAAAACTGGGAAAATCAATAGAACATTTAATATAAATAGTTAATACAGAAAAGATGCCATCGGTATTAAGCATAGATCATAAGCAATATCAGTAATGTATTCAAAAATGTGTGGACAGATAGTTTAAAGTACAAAGAATTGCAAAAATGGACATTTCTCAAAAACAGATAGTGAGTTGGACTCAAAACTGCACAAAGGTATAAAAAAACTAAGCATATTTTCATAAGGACAAATGAGGTAAAAATGGCTGTCAGTGATTTTAAAAAGCCAAAGCTGTACAGGGTGTTTTTCTAAAGCACTGAGTAATAGAAAAGAAAGTCTGTCTCCGTTGAAACCTATTGGCCTCATAATGCTCTAGGGTAGATTGCTATTGGCAGAAGAATGTTGTCGGTTTAAAAAAGTTTAATAAAAGGTAGACAAAAGAGATCCTGAAGTGAAGAAGGAAGTCCTACCTGAACTTTGGTGAGATGCAGGTACATCACACAGGCGACATGGAAACACACACACAGCACCAACAGTAGCAACACCAACCTCCCCCTATGAAAAAAACAACAACATAAAAATCAAAAAAATTCTGAAGCTTTTTCAAAGGATTAATACAGAACATGAATGTGTGAGAGTGCTGGTGTTCCTACTGTGGGATCATTAGTAGATAGATAAGGCTGAACAGAGCACCCAGGATCAGAGAGAGAACCACCGCACTGATGAAATGGTCATCATAAACCTGGTGATACTAAGGGAGAACATAAAACACTGTTAGAAGTTTGGAGCATAAATCTATCCGTCAACACCTGCTTCTGTAGGTTCTTTACACATATTTGGTTGCCAGGCGTTGTTCATGATTTTATCTTTTAGATTTACTGAGTTTAGTATTTCTTGCCCGGTTATTGTAAATATAAACACTAAAAAAGTTACAAAGTACCAAAGTACACTCACTGGCCACTTTATTTGGGACACCTGTCCAACTGCTCGTTAACACACATTTCTAATAAGCCAATCACATGGCAAAACCTCAATTCATTTAGGCAAGTAGACATGGTGAAGGCATTCTGATGCTCGGTTTGAACATGCTGGTGAAGATTCTCAGTCATCCAGATCAAAGCCATTCAAAAGAAAAGTTAGAAACAAAGACACTGGACTTTTTTTGTCCAAGTTTGAAGACCTTTTGCTTCTAATCCAGAAAGCTTTCTCAATTTAAAATGTCTGCATTAGCATGGAGCTCCAGGCTTTACAGAGTAGCCCAACAAAAGCCTTGTTATGGCTTAGAAAACATGCAAATTGAACTGAAACAGGTGGTCAAAGCATTGCTCCTGCAAGCCAGGTCAATAACAACCCTAACAACTCCCTATTGCAGAGTTGTGTGATGCCAGCATGTCAATATGGACCAAACTCTCTGAGAATATCTGAGTACATTGTTTAATCAATGCCAAGAAGGATTGAGGAAGTTCTGAAGGCAAAGGGGGGTCTACCCTGTACTAGCAAGGTGTACCTAATAAAGTGCCTGGTGAGTGTAGGTAATTACTTAGTATGTGTCTTGCATTTTATCCTTTATCATGACCAAATGCATGGCAATTAAGGCTGGCTTCACCTTTCATCCGTAGTAACTAGGGCTTTCTGAATTAGCCAGGGGTAGTCAATATAAGGCACACATAATATTTAAATCTGTAAAATGATTTTGCTTTGCATATTTGTAATCATTAGCAATAAAATACACATAAGTCAAAACCAAAGTATGATTTAAAAAATTAAGTTTCCAATAACAGTAAAATGACTAACATGACATTTTTTTGTTTTCTTCACATTGCTTAATCATGTTTTTTTTATCAGCAGTAGTATAGAGGTACACAGGCATTGTCTGGGCAATGTGCTAAAGCGAAAAAGGGGCTCCCATCATAAAAGTATTCAGAAAAACACAAGAAAACCCAATAGAATATATTAATGTTATGGTATCTTTTATTTTCTTGCAATTATACTGCAAAACTGATACATCAAATAATTCAAAGTGGAACTGTACATATTAAAAAAGGGTGACAAACTGCATCTCCATTAAGTCAAGAAACCCTGTATACATTATTTAACCGTTTTCTGACTGCAGCAATAGAAAGTCTGTTATCATTTGGCAGCTTTAGGCTTCCTTACAAAGTATCTTTAAGTGTATCTCAATGTAAAACAACTTACTACAGTGTTCACATTAATATGTGGGATTATCTTATGTAAAATAACTCTGCAGTTTTAACACATTCAGTTTGCCTTTTAAGTCAGAGTAAGGATTAGGCTAATAATCCCTCCCCAAATTAATTTAGAAATGTTTTCAATTGAACTGCCCAATTTTTTATTTGAGGCATCTGGTAAATCATTTATACTGTAACAGCTTTGTTTTAGGTGTTTTCAAGCACAGAATGTTTCTCAGTAATGCTGCTTCCTCTGCATAAAAAAGATTGTTTAATAAAGGAGGGAGAGGGAAAATTTGCCTGAAAGACACAAGCCTTTAGACAGTACCTCATCACAAGCCAGTGTGAGATTTTGGGATATTTTGTAATTCATTTACTTTGTATAGATCTTCCAAAATATCCACATCTGTTTAACTTTTGTCTTTTTCACATTCACCTAAAACTGTATCATTTTTATGTGATAGAACAAGACTAGGCAATGTATACCTGTGGAAAAGTGAAAGAAAAATTATGTACAGTACTTAAATGGTTTGAAACAAAAAATGTAAAAAGTGTAGTCTGCTTTATTTCAGCCTCATTTTCTCTTATATCCTGAATTACCAATTACCTTCAAAAGTCATGCGACTGCACATTTCCCACATCTGACTCCACATGTGGGAAATGTATTCTCTGTATAAACCAGGTTATTTTGTGATGCCTCAGTGTTTCAGTGTATAGCGTCACTACAGTAGCCTACAAATGCAAAGTCACAGCAAAGGGTTGAACTCATCATGAACAGCTGACAACTCTGACACAAGACAAGTTCAACAGACAAACACTGCAACAACAAAAAAATGCTACAATCATGGAAAATATAATGATGCAATCTCCAAAACACATAAATAAAATAAATAAATGTAACAGAGACATAATGAAAAAAAGGAATGCTTCAAACCCCAAAATATACACAGGGGCGAAATCAACATTACTAGAGTCACAAAAACAACATAAATAAAAAATAACAACAACAATAAAACAACAAAAGAAACTTGCTGTAAAAAATGGAAATGTGTCAGACCAATAGATCGAATCACAGTTAAGGCATTAACATAACACTCAAAGGAAAGTTGGAGGAGGGAATGAAGGTTCCCCTTTCAATGTCTTGAAAAACATGTGAACCTAATCTTTTACAATATTATGGAACATCACTTTTTTTGCTTAGGTATTAAAAGGGTGCACCTTCAGGCGGCAAATGGCATCATGAAGAACAAGTAAAACATCAAACAGGTCAGGGAAAATGTTTAAGAGATGTTCAAAGCAAGCTAGTTTATTTAACAGAAATTATATCTCAAGCTTAAAACATATCAGAGAGCACTGTTAAACCCATCTTTGAAAAAGGAAAGAGTTGGTGCAACTGCTACCTAAGACAAGGCTATTCATTTGAGTTGACACTTCCAGTAAGCAGAAAAATTAATTAAAGAATCAGCCGAGGGGAGGTAAAGAGTAGATTAATGTTGGAGATTCTGTTGTCAGAAAAACCATTGCCATGCACTAAACAGGTATTGTTTAGTGCATGGCACTATAGCTGCAAGAAGAAAAACATAAGCCCCATTGTCTACTTTTACGTAGAAAATAACAAACATTCTGGAGAAGTTGGTCAGATAAAAAAAAAACTGAACAATATAAAATAACTGAAGATGGATAGTGCTTAAAAAAGAGAAAGCCACACAGAGCTTGCAAAGGACTTCATAAGTAGGTCAAATATTATTCTTTCAGCAGAAGACATACCCTAAACATAGAGCTACAGTTACATTTACAGCAAAGCATGCACTGAAGTGGCACAGCAAAAAGTATTATTACAGATGTGCTCCATTTTTTCTAAGCTACAGCAACTTAAGCAAAAAGATGGTTCTACAAAACTGAGGTGGAGAAATACAAATATATACCTTTAAATTCCGATTACGTTCAAAAGGGTCACTTATTTTGTTCTACTAATTGTGCCGGTCTATCACATGACATCCTCATAAATATAATACTTAATGTTTTAGTTTTATACCACAGCAAAATGTGAATTTCACTTTTAAAATGTGTACTGGTGAAGATTCTCAGTCATCTAGGTCAAAGTCATTCCTAAGAGTAAAAAAAGTTAAAAAGTTTTTAAAACTTTTTAAACTTTTTGGGAATGACTTTTAAAAGATACTTTTGCAAGGCATACGATATCACACACGGTTCACTCTAAAAATATGCATATGAGAACATAAACCTGGCCTTAACTTTGGCATAAGCTAGTTTATGACATCTTGCTGCCCTCTTAAATTAGAAGGAACCCTCATACTGTTTATTGACTTTTTATAGGTACTTCACACAACCTTAGTTAAAAGAACCACAATTTATTAACTTATTACATACTTCTAACAACAGCAATTGAATATGATGGCTGGCTTCTCTACAAGGGCCTGACAGCTCTGAGTGGTCAGCTCTACCACCTTGCCAGTTATTCAAATAAGCTTTTACTAAAAAGCTACAAGATTGAAAGGAACATCTGAATTACATATAAAAAAAAAAAATCTGTGAAGATTCTCAGTCATCCAGGTCATTCACTGCAAAAAGTCATTTTTTTCTTAAAATAAGTGCATTTGTTCTTCAATTGAGGAGGTAAAAGAGACATTTTGCCAATGGAACAAGACAATTTACACTTAAAATAAGAAAACACCATTGCATTGTCTTATTTCAAGTGCATATTATCTAATTATCTTATTTTAAGAGTAAAATTACTCATTCCATTGGCAATCTATCTCATTTATCTACTCAAATTAAGGGTGAATACACTTAATTTAAGAAATTTTTACTTATTTCTAGATAGTTTTTGCAGTGTTGTCAAGCTTGATAAGTTCAGTTAAGGCAACTGGATGTGAAGTTTTCTAGAAGAGGTTTCACCTCTCATCCAATAGGTGGGGGGCACTGAGATTAATATGCTGTAGGTGTAACAAAGATTTAGGGGAAATAGAATAAACTCTGACAAGGAGTTAACAGCCCATCAGAACCCCTAACGACCATTAACACCCCCCAAGTGATCTCCATGGCCAATCTTGTAGTGTTGGGATCTGGAGAAGTTCCACCTTTCTCCAGCAGAGTCCGCCGTGGATCCTCCTGAGCTGAGCCTTCGACACACCTGAGGCGCATCTCATCATCAGAGGATCCACCAGTATATAACCTGCCTTCAGACCTTGCCTCAACGCCGCAGCGTTTATCCAGTTTGGTTAGCACCTGAGCCTAGCTTCTTCTGAGAACCTTTGTTGCTCCTGATTCCTGATTGGATTCTAATTCCTTGTTGTCTCTGCTTTCAGGAATCCAGTTTTCCCTTGTAAGCTCTGGATGAGCTTAACCTGCCGACCCTGCCCTCTGAGCCAAACCTGAAGACTCTTCTCTGGATTCCCATGCAGCTCTGGACTAAGAGCTGGAAACCCAAAGCCAAGGTCTGCCCTCACGCTAGAAGTAAGGCGCTGAAGCGGTTACTGAACTCTGCTGAACTAAACAGTCTCTGGACCCAACAGTTCCTCTCTCAAAGCCAAACTCGGACTCC